TTTTCTAGATGTCACTTAAGGAAATGAGTTTGAATGAATCATTGAGTGTTTATTGAAGGGCTTTTATGAAATAAACCAAAGATGTCCTGACAGTTTTAGCCATTGCCTGTCTGTTCAGTTTCATTTCTGTCCTCCTGCACTTTCTGAAATGTTAAGTTTCTATGCAGCATCTGTAAAAGGAGCCTTTGTGGGTCAAATCAAATACCTGAGGCCTTAGGAGTGCCAGGTGAGATTCTGCTTGGCTGATGACTCGATAGATACAGCTTAAGTCACCTCAGTGCTTGCAACTTGAACATTTATTTTGAAGTCTGCTAATCCATTCAGATGCATCCAAGTTTCTTCTGGGATCTACTTTCACTTGGAGTAAGGACCCAACATGGTTGCCCTTCATCTTAACACTTAATCCTAGAAAACAGTTTCATCACCTTTGCTTTTTAAAAATCAATACAGCTTTTCAGCAGAAACAAAATGGAATATTCACTAGTCACTGATATTAGTAGAAAATTGGTAATCATATGCTTGGTTTCACTTTACTTATAAGACTCTATTTTTTTTTTTAAAGATTTTATTTATTTATTTGAGAGAGAGAGAGAGAGAGAAAGCACGAGATGGGGGAGGGTCTGAGGGAGAAGCAGACTCCCTGCTGAGCAGAGAGCCCAATGTGGGACTTGATCCTGGAACTCCGGGATCATGACCCGAGCTGAAGACAGACACTTAACTGACTGAGCCACCCAGGCACCCAACTTACAAGCCTCTGTTAATCAGATTTCTTATTACCAGTCAGTTAATGCTAGATAACCAGTTTTGAACCATCAGACCTCAAGTAGAGTTTAAAACTGCCAGTCTCATCTCCTGCATAATGCTATGTTAATGTGATCCTGAAAGCAGGCGTGGATCTCATTCGCACACTTTGGTTTAGCTCACGTTCACACGCCTTATTTGATCTTCACAGGCAAAGCAGGTCTTATGTCACAGTACAGAGCAAGAAATCCGAAGAGGTTGTGATTTCCTTTGTCACATAGCTGGTAGATGGCAGAACTATCCAATTTGGGACTTTAACCAGGTCCTTTTTATTCAGTCTTTGGCTCTTTCTTCTCTACCATGTCAGCTCTATCCCTCTGCATTTTTATTTGGAGAGCTAAAAGCTGTCATAATTTATTATAGAATAGCTGTTACTTATTTTGCTGCCCTCCCCCCATGGGTTATTGTAAAGCATCTATCCTTTCTTCCCCTTTAATAACTCTACCTTGTTCATGAAAAAATTATTTGTAAAACATACAGATGTATGTTATTACCTTATATTTAGGCATTAATGGACTGTTAGTCATAAAAATGTTGATGCATATGTTTTATAACTTTGGAATGAGAAAAGTCTTATTTTTTTTTTTAAGATTTATTTATTTATTAGAGAGAAGTGACAGTGGCGGGGGGAGGGCCAGAGAGAGAGAATCTCCAGCAGACTGCCCGCTGAGCTCAGAGGAGCCTGATGTGAGGCTCCATCCCATGACCCGAGTCATGACCAGAGCTGAAACCAAGAGTCGGATGCTTAACCAACTGAGCCACCCAGGTGCCCTCCCCTTTAACTTTAAAATGTTAAAACTTGAAAATAAATTTATACACCCTGAACTGTTAGGGTTTCTGGACCCTTGGTTATGTACAAGGTCTTCGTGAGTTGAGGAGGAAATAAAGTGTAACTGGCAACATCTGTGAGCCGTGAGTGGGAACGTGAGGGGACTTGAAGACCAAAGATGGCACAGTCTGGGACCTGTTGGACTTGTTAGTGATCAAAGAACAGGTGGTCAGGGTGAGAAGTAAAAAGGACTAACCAAACAAACCAAAGACATGAAACCTAGAAACGGATTAGTTCTGACCTGGAGTTGAGTACTTACATGAGTTCCAAGAGTCTCATGTGTACATCACTGTTTAAATACACGTGGATCTGGAAGACTTACTCAGCTTTCATGTTTTCCCGTCATTTTGTGCTCAACTTTACCTTCTCAGACAAAGTCTGCTCAGGAAAGGTATCAGAATTGAACATCAAATCAGATTTTGACTTTTAAAAGTCCTCTGTTAGAGCTTAGGTTTTTTTTTTTTTTTTTTAAGATTTTATTTATTTGAAAGAGAGAGAGAATGAGAGAGAGCACATGAGACGGGGGAGGGTCAGATGGAGAAGCAGACTCCCTGCCGAGCAGGGAGCCCGATGCGGGACTTGATCCCGGGACTCCAGGATCATGACCTGAGCCGGAGGCAGTCGCTTAACCAACTGAGTCACCCAGGCGCCCTAGAGCTTAGGTTCTTAATACAAGTTGATAGAAAACATATTTTTCTTTGGTTTGGGAGGGAGATGGGCTCTAGAGCTTGGGGGGGGCGCCTGAGCTAGAGAATTTGGAATGATCAGGTAATTAATAAGCCTTTGTATTTTTAGAATGTAGTCATAGATGAAACACTTTCCAAACCTGAATGGAGTGGAGAGAGAAAAAAGGAGAGGGACCGTGAAGGAATATGTGTAAGACCAGGGAAAATTGATAAGCTGGGATGAGTAGAGATTTTGAGGTACACTCTATTTTAAAAAATTCTTTTCAGTGACAAAGTATTTCATCTTCACGATACACTTAGAGATATCCTTTGTTCAAATTCTGTGCATTTATGTTAGGGAATGAAGGAAGGGCTGGAATAATAGGTAGGGGAAAAGTTCTTTGAAGCAATTTTATAGTGCTTTTTTTAAGTTTTAAGTTTTTCAAAGTTTATCTTTTTAATTATGAAAGTTTTCAAACATACACAAGAATAGAATAAACTTCCCCCTAACTTCAACTCAGTTATTGAGATTTTACCCATTTGCTTTGTCCCTTTTTTTTCTTCTTTTTATCCCTCCTGATATGCAAATCCCGGGAATCCTGTCATTTCAACCCTCCATACTTCACTGTATATCTCCAAACAGTACTTACATTTTCTTACCCAACCACCCTGCCATTATCATGTCTAGTCCCCAGCATATGATCCGATCTCCCCAGTTATCTCCAAAATATCTTTTTTTCTTTGCCTGGTTTGTTCAAACCACGATCCAAACAAATTCTACTCATTATATGTGGTTGTTACGTCTCTTAAATTTTTCTTAATCTACAACAGTCCCTTCCAGCCACCATTTTTGGCTTTTTTCCCTCATGCCATTGACTAGAAATCCATTCTGTTGAACTGTAGAGTGTCCCGAATTCTGTATTTGGCTGATTGCTTCTTTGTGGTATCATTTAACTTTGTCCTGCATCTCCTCAAGTTTCTTGTAAATGAACTTTTTGGTCTCAGAACTCCTTTATACTCTTAAATTATTGAGGACCTCAAAGAGCTTTGTTATGTGGGTTATATCTATCAACTTTACTGTATTAGAAATTAAAGCTGAGAAACTTAAAACATATTTACTAGTTAGAACAATCGTGAACCTATTATTTGTTATCACAGAAATATGTTTTTAATTAAAACTATATTTTCCAAAACAAAATTAGTTAGAAGAGTGGCGTTGTTTTACATTTTGGTACATCTCAGATGTCTGTCTTAATAGAAGACAGATTCTCATGTCTGTTTCTGTATACAATACTTTGTAATACCACACAACAAGTAGTCTATGGAAAACTCTACTATACAGGCGTGAGAGAATGAGGGTGGAAAAAGTAAGTGATGTCTTCGTATTATGAGAATGGTTTTGACTTCATGGACCACCCGGTGAAAGGGTCCCCTAGATCATACTTTCAGAGACAGCTGCCTTAGGAGGCTTGATTCTAGATTCGGGTTAAACTTCTTTGGTAAGAATATTTCATAGATGGTGATGTATGCTTTGTATTTTATCATTAGGATATACACACTATCTGGTCATTATTATTGATCCTAGGATTCACTGGTGGGCTTAGGTGAGCCATTTTGCTTTTTAATAGAGTGGTACCAACGTTCCATGCTATTAGTAGTTGTAAGTATCCACTTTCACCATCTTTATCAGTGTTCTGTGTATTTTCATTTTTTCCCAATTAATAGGAGAGAGATGTCATCATAGTTTACACTTGAATTTCTTTGGTAATTGGGTTTTTTTTTTTTTTTTTTACATTTTTCTGTGTGTTCATTTATTTTATCTATTGTGTGTCCATTTCTTTTGGCTCCTATCTGTTTGACTTGTTGATGGCTTTTTAATGAATTTGGACAAACTTCTTAATCTAATACGTATTTGAGCCTTTCTTATTCACTATAATATTTTGCCCTTTCTGTGTTGTGTCTTACCTTTGGTTAGCTATGTTTTATATACTGAAGTCATTTCGACTGGTGATCTTTTTCCTTGTTGAGTGTGGACTTCTAGGAAAATGGAAAATTGGTAGCAGCTGAATTTGGAATCTCATAGTTAGGGCTGTAGGAATCAGCGGCTCTTCTTCCTTATTTAAAAAAAAAAAGGAAGACCTAGAGAAGTTATTGTTTACTCATCTTTACACAGTGAGTTGGTGCTAGAGTTGAGACTAGAGACAATTTCCTTTCAATTCTACGACCATTTCTAATAAGCACTTCAGTTGAATTTGGAATAAGAATGGGGAAACTTTGTCTTTTGGTTAGAATCAGAGATTCCTGATTTTCTTATCATGAATTTTGTGCTTTGTGAAGGTTTGCTTCTCCGTAGAATAGTATTGCAGCTGTTTAACTAGTGGAAAAAAATACTACTACTCTTTCTTTTGAGAGAGCAAGCGAGCAAGTGCGAGCTGGGAAGGGCAGAGGGAGAGAGGGAATCTTAAGCAGGCTCCACGCCCAGCATGGAGCCCGATGTGGGGCTCGATCTCACAACCCTGAGATCATGACCTGAGCTGAAATCAAGAGTCAGATGCTTAACTGACCGAGCCACCATGGCGCCCCCCAAAATACTAATTCTTACTCATTTTTATATATGTAAACATTTAAAACCACTCTGAGTATTTAAAGTATTGTTGTCTTCCCAGAGTTAAAAATGATCCAATTTTGACTGTTTTGCCTAACAGGAAGCCTGCAGACCTGCAGAACTTGGCTCCTGGGACCCACCCACCATTTATAACGTTCAACAATGAAGTCAAAACGGATGTAAATAAGATTGAAGAATTTCTTGAAGAAGTCTTATGCCCTCCCAAGTGAGTATCAAGGAAAATATGCATGAAAATATTGCCATCTCTTTAAAGCTTGGTCTTTTCTGGCCTTTAGAGATCTTTCTCTGGATTGTACTGGAGTTAAATCCATACAGCATTAAGTTGCAGTGATTAGGGCTTCTCTTCATTCATTATAATTAATGCTACAATTAATGCTACACAGATGTCAGAACTGCCTTCTGGCTAGGCCAATAAGCATAGGTAGGAATGTGATTAAGCTATAGAGTATACATTGAAAGTAGGTTTGGGACATGGGAGCTAGGTTAGGAAAGACTATTTGAGGGGAATTGGTCCCAAACTGAGAGAGAAGTTTAGGGAAGACAAGGGATAAGGAGAGACAGGTTCAGACTGAACCCAGCCAGAATCTCTAAGCAGGTTGCTGGGGGGGTTCTTATCAGGCCATTTTAAAGGTAATTGTCTAAAGCTATCACCCAAGGGAATTGACTTTTTAGACTGTGTCCCTGGGATTCAGTTTTTCTTTATGTATTTCTCTGTCAAATGTTGAAACAAGGCTCTCAGTCTTTGAAAAGTTTTGCTTTATCAGGCTATTTGGGAAAGTGAATAATGATGAATTACTAAAATCCAGTGTTTGGGGGAATGCAAAATAAGCTGGCAACTGATTGAGGACCTCTTGGTTTAGAATTTGATTTATCTTTCAGAGAGAACCTGATCTGTAGTAAAACAAAAACAACACTTGATTTGGGGACAGGAAACCTGTGTTGTAGTTTGGCAATACTTTTAACTAGTCTAGGGATTTTGGGGGCCCAAGTATATAAGCTTTCTGGAATATAATTTCCTTTTAGGCAAAACGAGAGTTTGAGGTGAATGGTCTCTTGTAGTTCTAGTATTGTATGCATTAAATTAATAGTACAAGTTTAATGGTTTGTCTTGGAGAAGAATAGGGCCTGTTTAACCTGCTTTAAAGAACAGTGGTTTGTTTTTTTTTTGTTTTGTTTTTAAGAATTGTGATAGCATCTGTTTTCATATGGATAAGGCTATGCCAATTGCAAATCCTTCTTACCTGTTCATTAAAATAGGTCTCTAGTAAATATGCTCCTAATTGCTCATCTAAGTGTACAACCTCTGCACTTAGTATAAGCCTGACATAGGGTAGACCCTTAATAGTTAGAATAAGTGAATATATGTGAACAATGAATGTATAAATGATCTGCAGTTTAATCCTACCTTCAAGCCTTACTTCATTAGAAAAAGTAGGTATAGCTAAATATTGGTCGGGGAAAAGAATAATTTTGGAAACTTGGCTAGAGGAAGACATAGATGTATTGAAGAGGCACTTAGTGTTCCTTGTGCTGTTTTTTGTTTGGAATGAGTCAATGAAGTTACTGTATTACAAGCAGTAAAAACATTTAAACTGGAGGCTGGTGGTTTTTATAGTCAAGAGGAATTCAGGGATGTTGAACCTGGAATTAACTCTTTTAGCCCAGGCAGGGGGAAAAAAAAGGATAAAGTTTTCTGTAGTTAAGAGGAAAAAAGGGAAAAAAAAAAGAAATATATATATATACATACACACACACATATAACTATATATTATTAATATAGTATACATAATATATAACCTCATGAAATTCATTTACTGTAATTGTTCACCGAAAAATTCATTATGTTAAATATTTTTGTTTAAAAGAGAAATCTTTAAGCTTAAAAATTGGGAGGTATTAAAAGGGAAGATAAATTGAGCATGTATGTATTCAGTAGGTATTTTATAATCTCCTATGTCCAGTTTTTTTAGATCTCTCCCTCCTTGAATTCAGAATTGCACATGTAAAAAAAATATGAATAAAAAAGCTAACAGGACACTACAGCTTGCAACTGAACTAAATTTCTTCCTAAAAATACCTCACCTTCATTTTTAATTTTAAAGAAGTGACAAGACAGCATCCTAAAATATATGAAGAAATATAAATTACTAGTTTAATGTAAGATTTTTTTCCCCCAGAGTCTTAACTGCCCCAAGCCCAGTTTCCAGTGAAATTTTACAGGGCCTTTAAGCGGATGAGTCTTCCCTAAAATGGTGCTAATGGACGGAATTCCTGTGGAGCCAACTCCCAGTGGGTGTAGCTCTCTGCTGAAGGGAAGAGGGAGGAGCTGAACCTTCTCACATGTATTTCCCAATTTGAGGAAGAAATAGACACTGAGTATGTGTGTTTGGAATTTAAATATATAAAATACACATTTGTGTGGTTGGAAAAAAAAAAAGCTGTGTGTCATGAATGTCCGTTTTCAAAGCAGATAAACTTTGTGAGAGCACTTGTTAGCAAAATTCCCAACCTCTTATTGTTCCGGTGCTCAGTCCCACCCTTACAATATCTAGTCCATGATGGGCGCCTGGGTGGCTCAGTTGGTTGAGCGACTGCCTTCGGCTCGGGTCATGATCCCGGAGTCCCGGGATCGAGTCCCGCATCGGGCTCCCTGCTCGGCGGGGAGTTGCTTCTCCCTCTGACCCTCTTCCCTCTCGTGCTCTCTATCTCTCATTCTCTCTCTCTCAAATAAATAAATAAAATCTTTAAAAAAAAAATTCCTTGTCCATGGGGGGTTCTGGAAAATCCCAAGTGTGGGATCGAAGTGAGTGATCTGCTTCCTGCTGTTTTTGTCCTTAAACTACTGCGGATGACCGAGATGCCCGCCTGTCCCTGCCGTCCGGGTTCTGTGGCACTGCCGCACTGGGTGCCTCGGTGCACGGCACGTGCCAAGGATCTGGTTGGCTTTTCTGTTTCGAGCAAGCTGTATAGTTGAAATGTGGCTAGTGCGATGGTGGAAGTGAATTTTTAACTTTATATAACACCAGTTCATTGATACTCGTATTCAGATAGCCAGCCACACTTCACTAATGGTTACCATATTGGAAATTCAGATATAGAATATTTCTATCATTACAGAAAGTTCTTTTGGACAGTGCTGCTCCAGACTTCTCTTTCTAAGATGCCCATTGGCTTGGCACATGCCTCTGAACAAGTAGACTGTTTCCCCAGCATCCTAATTTATAAAATGGAGGTGGAGTGCAGATGCCCTTTGGTTGCCAAGAATATTAATATGTGAACAAAAACACTGCAGAGCTTTGTTTCCTAAGGAAAAAAACACATCTTAAAAATATCATAGAAAACAGATGATGGCATTTCTTAGAGTAATAACTGTTAAAAGATGTCTAGTAACTGCTGGCACAATGGTTTGTTGATGGAGAGAACGTATGCTAATGTATCTTTGGAGTATCTATTATCCATTCTCACTTTTCCCCCTTAGGTACTTGAAGCTTTCACCAAAACACCCAGAATCAAATACTGCCGGAATGGACATCTTTGCCAAATTCTCTGCATATATCAAGAATTCAAGGCCAGAGGCTAATGAAGGTAAAAAACAAAACAAAACAAAACAAAAAACCAACCCAAATGATTAGATTACCACTGGAGATAAACAAACCAAAAAACCCCCAAATAAATCCAAAAATCCTGTTATGACAGTGATTTAAAATAAATATTTTGGAGTCCAGGCCTTCCCATTAAGTATTAAAAACTGGCTTTCAAAGTTGATTAGAGATTTGCTGATAAACCAGGGTAAGTCCTTAAATTGCTATTTTCCTGTTTCAAGCTAGTGGGACAATGCCTAGCATATGGTAGTTGTATGACACGTGTTTACTGAGTGAATGGTTTTCATGAAGGGGGAGCTAGACAGAGAATTAATGGTGCATCAGAAACAATGAATGGTGTGGTTGTGGTGGTTTGGAATAGATTGATACAACTTCATTTAAATTACTACTAAATCTTTTGTTTATTGTTGGGTTCTGGTAGCCTAAAATCAGCCTGGGTGGATTTTTGTGATAATTATCCTTAAAGAGCAATTTCGGGAGTTACTCCAAGAGAACATTTATACTCCCCAGTCTTCCTAAGTTCTCTGCATCCTAAAATGGGATTTTAGTTTCAAGTCCTGTTTTCATGTGAGAATTGTTTAGGGTAGTGCAGATACAAACTCCTTCTTCTATTTGTTAAAGGACCCCATCTTATTATTTCGTTTACCGAACTTATGTATGGTGAAGGGAAGCCTCTTTGAAAGAGGTCTGTTTAATGAACCTTGTCTCAACTACACCATTCAGTAATTTTTCTTCTCTTTGAGATGTTAAGCATCGTTCTGAGTATAACTCTCTAGAGAGAACATTAGTGTTTAATTAAAAGTAATTACAGTAACAAGAATGCCAGCTCCTAAAGACACTTTAATCCATCCTGGTTTTGGACAGTTTGGTGGCTTGGGTGCGGTTCTTTTGGGTAGACGTTTATGGCTGCAGATGAATAAGAAAACCAAAGGGAAAAAAATTATCAGTGCTGGTTAAGCAAGAATAAACATCTTTTAAAAAATGGAAACACTTGCCGATTTCCTTATGTGATTGCAGTGGGCAGAGTTCCAAGCTATTCAGGTTAGTATTTTTTTTAATAAATTTTAAAATTGTGGCATTTTATAATCTAGTATTGAATTTCAAGGGTTTCTGGGATAGTATTCGCTGCATGTGATGTTTTTCTGCAGCAGAGGGAAGAAGGGAAAAGCCGTAGCGTCCAAGCCTGGCTTACAGCTCTTCAGTGTGTTCCAGTAGCTGCCTTGGTTTGGGGACAACTTACCTAAGTAATTGGCTTTTTTTCCTGACTGATGTTTCAGTCTAAGCATTTCATACGCTAAACAAACAGTTACGATGGAGCCCCTTCTATCCGCAGACAGTACCCTTTCTGTCATACCCGGCCTTCCTGCAGGTGACTTCTTTTCACAAAATCATCCTTTTATATCCAGATGCTCTTGCCCATAGTTCCTGAACCCTCTGAGTTGAATTCATAATGTTTTTATTTCTCTGTGTAGTTTTGGAAGCTGGAGGGTGGTTGAATTTCTTTTGACACTTGGTGGGGAGGAGAGGGGAATAAAATATGTTTGCTTAAAAAAAAAAACAAAAAACCACAAAGAACAAAACCAAACAATTGCTTTGGGGATGGGATAGAGGGGAGAGAACAGGGGAGGAAGTGACTCATTTAAGTATAACTTTGTATTCTATTTTTTCCTATCAGTTTGTTACTGTCTTAAGTAGCCACCTACGCTTACTGTCCTTAGAATGTTATAACCAATAAGAACAAACAACATAATGGATCACACAGTGTATAACTTAGAAGGCTTTATATTAAATTACCTATTGGTAAATAAGAATTCCAGTTGCCAAGCAACTTTCCCCGTAGGGCCTGTCACTGCCAGGAGACTTTAGAAAACAATATTCCAAATCACTTTGGAGCTTACTGAGTATATGTAGATTTGTTGAAGTTTAGTGCAATAAAATGCCTTAAATCAGCCTTGGAAATGAGTGTTCCAGCTCCTTCTTCTCCCAAACTTTATTATAAACCGCTTACAAAGAGATGGATTTGTCATTTTACATGGTAAATCAGAGTAGGCAAGGTTTTGATTAGTCTTACCAGCCTATGAAATATTTTACAAAACTCAATATGTTTGGACAATTTTAAGATATAATTCTAAGTAAGGAATTAGATGCCTAGATGCTGTGGTATTGGGCCAGTGAAAGAGAAGGGTCAGTGCTTAGATGGGGTACAAAATAAACAAATAGGGTTTAAAGAATAAAATAAAGGGAAATACAGTAGAGAGAGAGGGAGGGAGGGGGGGAGAAAGAAAAAAAAACAAAGAATGAATGAATTCTTTTGGTAACATGTCCAAAGCTGATTGGGAGTAAGTTTGTGTAATCTTTTGAAGCATTAAAAGAAATTAATAGGTAATTCCTTTTATAAAAGGGAATGGGTTAGATATGACTTGTCCCAGATTTGCTTTTTTTTTCACTTCTGTGATTTCATTAATTTATATAAATTATTAAGCTCCCAAATGTAACTAATAGATAATTTATTAGTGTGTTGGTATTTATAATATTCTTAAGAGCTCAGTGAATTTAGCAGTGATGAAATCTGCCATTATATGTCCTAAGGCATATTTCATAATGTCCAAATTCCTATTTTTAAGTGGAGGCAAGGAATCTATAGGTTCTAATTAGTTCCTTTTTATTCAGAATTCCCTCCCTGCCGTTCTCCCTTCCTTTTTTTCCCTCTCTCTCTGTGGAGGTGTTTGGAATCAGAGGATGGTTGTTCATCATTGTAGCTATGGAACCTAAATGTGTATTTAGTCATCTTTAAATACTCCTTTTTTTAAAAAAAAAATATTTATTTATGTGTGTGTGAGAGAGACGGCACAAGCAGGGGAGCAGAGGGAGGAGCAGACTCCCTGTGGAGCAGGGAGCCTGACGTGGGGCTCGATCCCAGGACCCCGGCATCATGACCTGAGCGAAGGCAGGTGCCTCACCGACTGAGCCACCTAGGCCCAAGATTTTATTTATTTATTTGAGAGAAAAAAAGAGAGAGCACGAGCGGGTGGGGGGGGCGCGGGAGAGGGAGAAGCGGGCTCCTCAGTGAGCAGGGAGCCCGACGTGGGACTCGATCCCATGACGCTGGGGTCGTGACCTGAGCTGAAGGCAGAGGCTTAACGACTGAGCCACCTGGGTGCCCAGTTACCTTTTAAATACTCCCAACCTCTCCCTATTTTCTATTGGCTTTTAAAAATTGTTTGCGTAAGATTACCCTTTATTGAGATTAGCAGTAGCTTTAAAATACAGTTTTATCCTTGTAAGGGCTCATAATTTTGGTTTTCTTCACTGTGAATTGTATTCTTTTCCTACAGCAAATATGGTCATGTTAAATTTAATGCTTTCTGTCTTGCATTTACTCAAATTACACAAGTAATTGAGTAATGTATGCTTGTTGAAAAAGTTAAAATAGTTTAGAAATAAATTTAATAAAATTTCAGTGCCCCTTAACCTCATTTGAGCTCTTCCCCAACAGTTAGTATTCATCCCTTTTTTCTATGGAATTTTGCAGACATTGTATATGAGTGTGTATTTATGTGTATATTTACATTCTGCCATCGTTCTTTTCACATAGTATGTGGTAGAAGTCCTTCCATATCAGAATATAGATCTACCTTATTTTTTAGAAATATCACTTAATGTTCCATAATATGGATTTTTATTTAACTGTTTCCCTATTGATAGTCATCTGGATTGTCTGAAGTTTTTTTATTGTGACAAACAATGCTGCCAGGGAATGTCCTTGTGCTAGATTCCAAATAGGTCAAAAGGTTTTGTTTCTCAAAAGTCTACACCAGTTTATATTCCCACTAATGTGAAAGTATTCATTTCCCCATACTTCTGACCTTGGCATGGGTGTATGAGTGTGTGTGTGTGTGTGTGTGTGTGTGTGCGTGTGTGTGTGAGAGAGAGAGAGAGAGAGAGAGTGAGTTTTAAAATTTTGCTGTAGTTTCATAGGCAAAAAAAGTTGTTTTGATTTTCAGAATTAATTTAAAACTAATCAGATGGCCTCTATTACAATTAAGTACTAATTTTTTTGGAGAGCTTTTCAAATACCTTCTTAGAGATACCAGCATTACCACAGCAGGGGTGTTAGGGAATGGTAGTGGTAAGACAAGGGCCTCCTTTCTCATAGCTTGCTACTGCCTTCTAGTGGTTAGTCTTGGCATTTTCTTTATCTTAACCAGATTCCTTTGTGGTGTGTCTTCAAAACTTCATTATGTTTATTGAATGATGCTCTTTAATACCTCTTGGCATCTCTTTCTTTGTTTTGTTGGCCTTCCTCGTGTTGTTACATAAAAATTGAATGAAACTAATTCACCATTCTTTGCATTACTATACCCGTTATTCTGAGATTCTTAATGAAAAATCATTAACGTTCTAGCGAGGTACAGCAATTCAGCTTCATTGCAGGTCCAAAATTGTAGAAAGAATAGTAATTTTAATGTTTACCAGGTTCTTAATTTTAGCCTTTGTGTTACATCTAGGATTATACGCATCATATGTTTCAAACCTTGTAAATTTAGAATACTTTATTTTTTCTGTTGGATATATTTGAAAACTAATTCAGGAAAAGGATGAATTTAGAGCAGGTTGAAGATCATAAACTTGCCATACCCCTCAAGTGCTATTTGAGACTTTGTTTCAGTGTTTGACTTCAGGCAGCATTATCTTTGGTAGAGGCCATGACTCTGTTCATTGTAATCTGATCAAAAAATAAGTCCTTATTATCTGTCTTATATCTGTGTATTTATTCTGTATTCACTGATTTTTTAAAAAAGATTTTATTTATTTGATAGAGACACAGCGAGAGAGGGAACACAAGCAGGGGGAGTGGGAGAGGGAGAAGCAGGCTTCCCACAGAGCAGGGAGCCCGATGCGGGGCTCGATCCC